GATCTTGAAATTCTACAGTTTTATTCTTCCAACCTAGATCTGGAGTGAGAGTTAAGCCTCTACCCTTGGGTAGAGTCCTGTCTTCTTCCTTTAGGGAAAGTTTGGGGAGATGATGGGGATTACTGGGGATCCAGACCAGGTGTCTAGTACCCCAGTACTGTTGTTCAAAATGTAGAACAGGGTGAAGGAAGGGGCCCCTCCAGGGAGATCCCTGCCCAGGAAAAAGACAGTCTCCCTTACAAGGCAGAGGCTTGGAGGAAGGGTTGCAAAAGTGTATTGTACCCTCTCTCATTTGTTTAACTGATTTTTTATTGTTCCCCCTACTCAGAAGCTAGGTTATCCCCAACCTCTGGCCCCCACTCAGTTCTTCATTTGGAGGATTCCCCCCATTTCAGAGTTATCAAGAGACACTCCTTACCCATCCCCACCTCTCCTGCTGCCTATACCCAAGGTCATCAGCTTTGGATTGCTGGGGACCTGGCCCCAAGGAGGGTGTACTGAGGGGTCTGTAGGTTTGTGATTAAAATAATAAATGCTAGGCGTGTTTGATGCGCTTTTAACTTTGGCAAAGTGTCTCATGTGCTTGTTTTTTACTGTGTAGTGAATGTGGTCTGTGCAGACCAAGAGGGATACAAGTTACTGGAAGAAGCATTTCAGAGTGGTAGACAAGGGAATTTAGATAGGAAGAATGTCTGGAGGAAAATCACCTGTATGCAAAAGCAATCAGTCCTTTTAATGACCTGCCACGTACCCATCTAACTTTTGCATTTATTTCACCTGATATATTTCCCAGAGGGCTGGTGGTCAGAAAGTGCTGCTGCTCATTTCCATTTCCTGTTTGGAGAGACTGAGGAATAGAATTAAAATAAGTGTTGTGGGGCTGGCAGTGACACACACTTGTAGTCACAATTTATGTGGTGCACGCCTGTAATCCCATTTACTCAGGAGGCTAAGGCAGGTGAATCATAAATTTGAGGCCTCCCTTAGCAACTTGGCAAGACCCTGTCTCAAAATAAAAAATGGACTTGCTCAGTGGTAAAGCACCTGGGGTCAATCCCCAATACCTAAAATAATAAATAACTTCTGAAGATAGGCAGCCTGTAAATGTGTGAAGCAATAGATGCTTAAGTGAGATAAGGGTAGAAGAGGAAAATAAGATATGCTTGCAAGTTCATTCCCACCTCCCAGTTCTGGGGATGGAACCCAGAGGGTTGAACTTTCTAGGCAAGCATTCTATTGGTGAGCCACATAGATCCCTGCAAGCTCTTTGTGAGTGTGTGTGTGTAGTACTGAGGGATTGAATCCATGGTCTTGCAATATGCTAGGCAATTGCTCTACGACCAAGCTACAGCCCCAACCCTTTTTTTTTCTTTTCTTTTTTCTTTTTCTCTTTCTCTTTTTCTCTCTTTCTCTTTCTTTCTCCTTCCTTCCTTCCTTCTTTCTTTCCTTCCTTCCTTCCTTCCTTCCTTCCTTCCTTCCTTCCTTCCTTCCTTCCTTCCTTGGGGTTGAATTTAGGGGCCCTCGACCACTGAGCCACATCCCCAGCCCTATTTTGTATTTTATTTAGAGACAGGGTCTCACTGAGTTGCTTAGGACCTCACCATTACTGAGTTTGGCTTTGAATTTAAGATCCTCCTTCCTCAGCCTCCCAAGCCCTTGGGATTACAGGTGTGTACCACCGCACTTGGCTCCCAGCCCTTTTTTAAAGTTTTTTTTGATACTGGCAGTTTATTCCTAGGACACTGTCACAGAGCTACACCCTCCAGCTCTTTTTTTTTTTTTTTTTTGAAACAGGGTTTTACTAAATTGCTAAAGCTGGCCTCAAACTTGCAATCCTCATGGCTCAGCCTCCTAAATAGTTGGGATTACACACGCATACCACACAAACTCACTTTTGAAACTGATAAATACAAGAGGTTATCTCCTGGCAGATAAGATAGGTATTCGTGATGGTGGGAAGGGAAAGATAAAAACTATAAAAGTAGAGTAACAGAGAAGCAATTCCATTTTGGAGCAGACATTGACATCTTGGGAGATGTTAAATTGAGATGAATAGATACAAGTATTTTTTTGAACCGAGTGCCATGGTGCACATCTGTAATCCCGGTGGCTCAGAGGCTGAGGCAGGAGGATCACAGGTTCAAAGCCAGCCTCAGCAATTTAGTGAGGCTTACAGCAACTCAGCAAGACCCTGAATGTGAATTTAAAAATATAAAAAAGGACTGGGGTGTGTCTCAGTGGTTGAGTGCAGTGGTTGAGTGCCCCTATGTTCAGTACCCAGTACCAAAAAAAAACAAAACAAAAAACATTTTTCTTGGAATTCCTCAGCCAGACTTGACTCTGACACCCAGGAGAAACATCAGGCTTTATCCCAGCAATTTCCTCAACAGAATGTGAGGAAATTTCCTCAACAGAACTAAGACTCCCCATCAGACTGACCCCTGAGGGTTTGAACAGGACTTAGTCACTGTGACTTCCCCCCACCACACTGTGTCCACCACACTTGATACCTCTTTCTAATCTGTTTCTGCAACCCCTCAGAGCTAGTCATTGAGTCCCTATCACCAGACTGCTGATACCTGATACCTTTATTGTTTTTCTCCTCAACCTTGGTGTGATCTCTTTCTTACAAACATAACATATAACACCCAGAAGTGGCTTCTTTTCTTTTATTTCCTTTCCTTTCCCTTTCTTTTCCTCCCTTCCTCCTCACTCCCCCTTCTGGCCTTGAGCATGCTAGGCAAACACTCTACCAATGATCTCCTTCCACAAACCTCTTTAGTTTTTAGTCTGAAATAATTTTAGATTTACCAAAGAGTTGCAAAGCCCTCAGAGATCCATACCAATCACCTACCTCCCCCTAATGTTAATTTTACTTAACTATGGTAACATTTTGTGGGGTGCTGGGGAGCATTTAGGGTCTTGACCATGCTAAGCAAGTGCTCTACCACTGAACTACATCCCAGATCTCCCCCACCTGCATATGGCATAGTCATCAATGCTAAGAAAATAGCATTTATAGAGTACATTTAGCTCAGTTTCAGACTATTTGAGTTTCGTGGATTTTCCCACTAATATCTTTTCTGTAATAGGATCCAAGTAAGGATAATACATTAGTTATCTATTCCTGTGTAACAAATGATCATAATCTTAGTGGCTAAAAAAAAAAAAACATGTTCATTATCTCTCATGCTTCGTGGGCTAGGAATTCATGCTGGACTCACCTGGGTCCTAAGCTTCAGAGTCTCTCTTTAGGGCACAAAGAAGGTATTGGATTGAATTGAGGAATCATCTACAAGTGTGACTGGGAAGGGATCAGGCCCACATGCCTCTGGTTGTTGGCAGGATTCAGTTCTGTGCAGCCTGTCGAATGGTGGGCCCCAGTTCCTCGATGGCTGTCAGCCAGAGATGCCGTCAGTCCTTGCCATGTTTGCCTTTGTGTAAGGCATCTCACAGCATGGTAGTTTACTTCATCAAAGCCAACAAGAGAGGGGCTGGGGTTGTGGCTCAGTGGTAGAGTGCTTGCCTAGCATGCACCAGGCACTGGGTTAAATAAAGATAGTGTCCACCTAAAACTTAAGAATATTTTTTTTAAAAAGCCAACAAGAGAGTCAGAAATTAAAACAGAAGTTCCAATCTCATATAATCTAATCATGGAAGCGACATCCCCTCCATGTTAAAGCAATCTGCTGGTTTGAATCAAGTTACTCAAGGGGAGGGGATTACACTAGACCATGAATATCAGTAGGAGGGACCACTGAGGGACATCTTAGAAGCTCCCTACTACAGATACTGTGTTGCATTTTAGTTGTCATATGTTCTTGATATCTCCTGAAAGGTTCTCAGTTTGTCCACTAAGAAGGAAAAAAAAAAAGAAAAAGCTATTCCAGAAATAACAAGTATCTCATGCCCAGATCTTGGTTTATTTCCTTTTGTTTTCTTTCTTTTTTTTTTCCAGTACTGGAGATTGAACCCAAGGGCACTCTACCACTGAGCTACACCCCAGCCCATTTGAAATTTTTTTCTTAGTACATTATAGGTGTACTTAATGGTGGGATATGTTGTTACATATTTGTACATACACCTAACTATGAGTTCACACAGCCCTGAGCTCTAGCCACAGCACTACCCCCTCCCAAAAAAAGAATTCCAGAAACTACATGTAGAAGGAATTAGAAAAGTAGAAAACTTCCTTTTAGAATACCATTATATTAAGCCAGTTCAGTGGTGCATGCCTATAATCCCAGCAATTTGGAAATCTGAGGCAGGAAAATCTCAAATTCAAGCCACGCTCAGCAACATAGTGAGGCACTAAGCAACTTAGCAAGACCATGTCTCAAAATAAAAAATAGAAAGGACTGCGGTTCAGTTATTAAGCACCCCTGGGTTCAATCCCAAGATATCAAAAAAAAAAAAAGAATCCCACCATAACAATTGCTGCAGAGCAAGCACATTAGCACATACCTGTAATCCCAGGTACTTGGGAGGCTGAGCCAGGAGGATCAGCCTCAGCAACTTAGATCCTACCACAAAATAAGTAAATAAATAAATAAAAGGGTCTGGGTATGTAGCTCAGTAGTTGAGCACTTCTCTAATATGCCTGAGGCCCTTGGTTCAATTCCAAGTAGCTGGGGGGAATTCACTAAATGCTAAAACTAGTGGGCAAAACTTTAAGGTGAAACATGATAGTTACACAGCCTTAAAGTCTCACCTCCAAAATATATATTAAATATTTGATTCTTAGACTGGAGTTGTAGCTCAGTGGTAGAGCACTTCTTAGCATGTGTGAGGCACTGGGTTCAATTCTCAGCACTGCGTATAAATAAATACATAAAATAAAGGTCTATCAACAACTAAAAATATATTTTTAAAATATTTGATTCTTATCCCTTTAAGATATGGGGCTTAAATCCTCTCTTCCTTTTGAATGTGAGCTGGTCTTAGGGAATTGCTTCTCCTGAAAAGACTATGCAAAGTGAAAAAATAAAAGTAACTTTGCAGTAGAGAAACCTGGCAGGCATCACCTTAACCAAGACTTGAATGTTCCA